CATAGTGTTTCTCAGAGATGCTCCAGTTTTTTCACCAAATTTCGCCATGCCATCGAGGAGGGGGCAGGTTGAACGAGACCAGAAAACCGCGAAAAGTCAAGAACCCGCATTTATTATTTTTTCCTAACGCGGTAACTTTCTCTCAACCCCCTCCCCCCACCGATGAAATACGCCTCCACGATGGGGATTCCTGACTGGTATATCTCAGCCAAGGGAGCTTTTATGAGTGGCGTTCTTTCAGCAAATCTGAAAAAAAAAACGTTTCTAGTGGTCGAAAACAAGAAGTTGCAGACATGGTCTGGGAGAAAAAAAGCTCTTTCCTCGAAGAGCTTATTTATACCGCGGGAGACACAATCCATCACCTAGGTGGATGAAGAAAGACGTCAATTTTAATATCACCTTTTGGATCTTTAGGCCGCTTAAAAAGGCCAAACTCCAGCCTCATTTTGGCTGAAAACCTCTGGACGCTGAGCTACATTTCGAATTTTTCTGACACATAAGAAGGAAGATGAAATGACGCGAGACCATCTTCAGCCAACTCGATCAAGTGAAGTGACGTGGTCCGTACAAGTCTATGACTTACCTGAGCAGACAGGACCAGTGCCCATAGTGCTAGAAGAAGCAGACGACGACAATGCATCTAGTCGTTTTTCTGAAATATGAGAAGCACTCGCCAGCATCATCGTAGTGGATTCGAGAACGTCTCGTTACGACTGGCAATGTAATCCATCCATTCTTCCCTCACTCATAAACTCGTCTATCGGTTGAGCGATCGCTCTTACACTGCCCCTTTTCGCTTTTCGATGTTCACACCTCATTTCCCTACTATATTACTGGGAGAATTCCAATGTGGAATTTCAAAAAGTAGCCCTTTCAGATAGGCGAATTCACACCATCTCTCAGTTTAAAGGCAGCTGGCACGGTAATTTGTTACTCGTGCTAGCAAGACACTATATAGTAGGAAAATGGCGAAAAAACGAAGTGAAACGGTCAAAAACTGCGAAGAAAAGCCTTCGTTCTTAATGACTCGAAAAGCAATTTCGGACGAGTTTCCCGTAGGCATCTTGCCAGTAACCGCTACGGCAGTACGGCTGCACGTATTACTCATGTATATGAACGGTCGTCCATTTGTGGGCGGGCGGGCGTGGTGGGCGTTCGGGTCGGTATGTTGTAGCTTGATAGGGCCCTTATAAGGGTACCTTTCCTTGGAAAAGGCGCTACGCAGCGCCTGCTCAGGGTCGCGGAATTCCGTCCTGCCAGGCGTATTAATCCTACTCGTCTTAGGGATTTATCGTGCCAACTGCCTTCAAATGAAGTAGGAAAGCCATTTACAGTCATCAGCTCACTTCTGGCAGTTTCCTCCTACCCATTCGTTCTCAGTAAGTAGGAAGTTAGAACCCATACCACCAGAGCGCTAATCTAACACTACAACTGTAGAAAACACTACTGCTTTTCTATTTGTGCTACCCAATTAGGTCTGAGCAAAATAAAAACCTGTTTCTTCGGGAGATAGTCGTTGGAAGCTAACGCCCCATATACTGTTCCGGGAGCGTGGATGCTGACCTTCGTGGAAACGTTTCGATCGTCTGAAAGAGTAGTTGTTCTGAAAGAGATCAGTGAAATTACCAGATAGACAAAAGGAAAACACGACAGATCTATTACTGAAGATTCCCGCTTGGGAAAGAATATTACATCAATGGTGTGAGAAGTGTTCAGGAAGGAATATCTTATTTGGAAGAGGGGACCCGGAGGGGGCAGATTTAAGGAGGTCCTATTCGCGGCTCTCGCTGTCAAAATGTTATCGGGCCCATCGGCAGAAGCGCTCGTAACCACACAGGGCTTTATGCCATGTGTAGGTGAAAAAAACAGCGCCGTAGATGGAGGCACGTCATCAGATTCTCCGCCTTGCCGTTTACGCTTTTTGAAATTTGATCCGTCGATCGTGATACTGCGCAACATTTCACACATAAGCGATGGTTTAACGAATTCCAAAATCAGGTCCAAGAGATGGCTCTGAAGGTTGTGGTCCTGTTGGACGAGATTCATTTGGCAGGACCACAATCAGATGAGTAGCAAGAGAGGACTGCCTTTCAGAATGGTACGACGAATCATTAGCAGATTTGATGGTCTCGTGACAATACGTAAATGAAAACATGCCCTTCAAATGTTTATATTTTTGTTGGAGAAAAAATCGTGTCGAATGACTTTGTCAACATCGATCGAGGGCAAGATATCTTTGACATGACAGAAAGGCAACGAGATCACGTAATGCCAAATGCCTGCGGTGTATGAGTCTCTACTTGCCCCCCCCCTCCAAGAAATCCCACATGACTTTTTGCTGCTCTTAAGCCTTCCTACAAAGCATAGTAAAGTTCAGTAAAGTTCGATGCTTGAACTTCTTGTCTAATCTAGCCTTCATTGGCAACAGAAGGGTCCGTTTACATGGCCTATTATAGCCAAAAAAACATTAGTCTATTTCTCAGTGATATTATGAACCAACAGGAATCGGCAGGCAGTGACGCAACGGTGATGGCGCAATTCGATACATTGATACGGTAGCCCTAATTCGCCAGTGATAAGCATCGAAGTTCTAGAGAATTGTTGCCATCGTACAGGTAAACTAGTAAAGGCATAGGCTTTAGTATAAAAAGCCTGTGCCGGATTTATAGCCAGTAACGTGGGCGAGGACGTGACGCTTACAGAGACAAAGCCCCACATATCATCGGGTGCTGTTCTTCATTTGAAAAGCGTAGCTGCGCCCGAAGAAAAGCGTTTCTCAGAGCAGCTGTGAGCAGAACACAGCACTTGAGAACTTGTTGGTAGCGATGAACGGTGTTGAAGAGACAAGTGAAGACGGAATTACTCCCGAAATCACAGGTGGCTTAGAGATAAAGACAAAACAATAACAGTTGTATGTTCTAGGCTAGATTTTTTACTACTTGTTTTCAGCAGGCGCCATGAGGAACAACACACGAGCGAGGCGACGATGACACAATCGCCGAAAGACGACAATCACAATAGTGGCCTTGTTGCGAGGTTTTCATATGAATTGTGGAGAAAGCTGATCCCACGGATCAGTATTCTCTATAATTCATATGAAAATTTCGCAACAAGGAATGGCAACAATAGGGCCATAGGTGCCTTAATTTGATAGGCATCAGAAAAAATATTAGCTTTCGGCTGATCATACTAAGGGGCGGCAACAGGTCGCAGCTATATTTGGAAAAATATATTCCGGACTTCTCGAGTGGGTGACGCATCCTCCAGGTCAGCCCCATTTCGATATCGGGGTCCTTATACAGCCTCAAGAAGGCAGCACTCCTCGGATCGTTCCCCTACCTCGTGTAATTTGATCAGAGGGAGAACAAATCAAAAGATCCTTCAATGTGGTTCAGTAGCAGAACACATCGTGCGTTGAAGGAATCCCCAGCAGGAGTGGGGGGGGGGTCGTATTTGCCGCGCTGGGGAAAATTTTTCCCAGTAGCTGACTTTTCGCTGTTTTTCCCGTTATACATGTGCGACATACTCCTGCTCGACAGCAAAATTTCGGGTGAACTAGGAGTTATCCGGAGAACTTGGAAAAACAACAAAAAGTGGTAGGAAGCAGGGCACGTCGTCGTTGTTGGGATTCTCCAGCGGGGGCGGGGATCGTATTTGGTCTGAGAAAAATTTTTTTGGATAGTTGATTTTCTTGTTTCAGAGGACGCTATAAAGGGAGGGAGTCGTATTTGTTCATTGTTGGAGGGGAGTCGTATTGGGCTTCTGACTTCCTAGGAGAGGTTGTTAAGTTTTCGTGGGTTTTCCTGTTTCATATTAACCATATACTTCCCCGCTCGACAGCAAAGTTTTCGGGTAAAAGTAGGAACATTTTCGGGAAAATTCGGAGAAACTGGCAGGAAGAAAGCCGAAGAAGTTGGTAGGTAGGACGGGGAAGAGGGGGCCGAATCATCCCCATAAAAAAGGGCGGTGGACGGACTCGACCAAAATCCCAACCAATGATGTGCCCTGGTAGGAAGTTGAAGAAATCTAGGATAGTTATGATTGTGGGAGATGATTTTATGAAAAAAACTATTCCAGAACTCAAGCGAAATTTTCTAAAAATACAAAGAGAACGGTTTCCCTACGAAACGATTGCATTTACGTGAGTTCCTTTCAGAGTAATTCCAAGTACTCCCATCTCAGAACCTCAGCACTGTTTGATACTGTTTTGATTTTGTTCTTCTGTTACGACAAAACGTTTAACTTCGAAATTGAAATCTCCTTGCAGAAGCACAAAGAGAATAACCCCCCCCCTAAAAGTCTTGTCTGAAGTTAACAGGGGAAAGGACGAAAATGATGGGGAAACCGAAATTCTAACAACATTCGAAGTTGGTCTGGGATATATAAATAGCAGCAAAGAGCAGCGAAAAAGAAAATCATCTTCAGGCGAATTCCACAGCAAGGAGCAGAACAGATGCAACACAAAACGAATGCAGATGTCAACGAAAATCGTTTCGAGGCGAAGGAGAAACAGAGAGTGAGAGGAAGATTGGTCAGCAATCAGAAATCCAAAGACATCAAAAAGTGCCTTCGCCACGAGGCTTAGTATTCACATCGACATGGATTTCGCAGCATTTCCACCCCAATTACGTATGTGTGGAAGAGACAGTGACATTGACAAATGTTAGGTGCAATGCGAACTCATCGGCCCACACGCGCAACGCTCTGCAACACTCAGGTAAACATGTGTTGTTGGGATCGTGGCAATGAATAGAGCCAGACTCTTTTCCCAAAGTTCATTGAGGCGGGCGACGAGTGGAGTACGAATCAGACGGAAAGTGCTCATTTCAAAGGCTATAAACTGTGTAAACGTGGCTGCGACGATTCCAGGTAAGATCAGTTGTTGCCTGAACTAAAACCAAGGGGGGACAGAGCTTGATGTAATACGCTTGACAGAGATGAATGAGTGATGCCATGATATCCAGGCCACAAGGCAAGAGTTATGAGGAGACCATGTTGACAACAAGGTGGGTCTAAAGAATTACCCCTGGGGCCTTGTATTCGGTCGGTCGAAAAACGCCGCAATTTGTCGGCTAAACCCGAGGGTGTAATGCCAACCGACGCCGGCTGGTGCTCACAACACCCGCCAATGACTTGACTCCAATCCAGAGCTACTGGAAACTTTTGAATTGGGGCGTGATCAGCTAGCTCGGGATATATGGGCGGATAGTGTGGCTCGGGAGAAGATTCAGAGGACAACGCGAAAATGGTGGATAATAAACAGCTCAGATGTTCGAGTAAGCACTGACATATGTGCAGCTGTGCGCAGCAGAAAAAAACAATATTTTGATCGAACGATGTGCATTTAGTTGAAAACACCCATCATCTTTCCTTTCCCCTTGGGTCACAACAATTTGGTGTCACCACATGGAAGTTAGGGTGGTCTTCCACAGACGCCAGAAATCAAACGCTACAGTACGCTACAGTACCAGGCAGTGAGCCCAAAGATGCCAGTGAGCCAATGAGCTCGACTTGGCCAAGTCATGGAGGACGTCTGAGCTATTGCGAGAAGTTTGGTGTCAGCAATATTTATGTCTGTCTCACACACACTGCAGCACCTCGACCACCTGTTTACGCGCATCAATCAATAGACGTTGTAAATTTGCATAATTATCGAAATTGTTGATGATTTTGATATATGTAAACTTGGTATTTGTACTGTTAGGTTAAGAGATGAAGTGACGGGGAATGTAATAATGTTACACTGACAGCTGCGTCATTTAGAGGGGGGAGTTTATGATGAACTGAGTTTCGAGAGAACCAAGCAGGGTACAGCATCGTTGTGTGAAACACATGGGAGGGGGGGGTTGTACTTGGTCGTTGTTGGGAGAGGGAACGTATGTGCCTTCGAGAGAAATTTGCCTCGCAGGAAAAAAATTTCTCCCTGACTTTGACTTTTTGCGGTTATTCCCTGAAAAAATTTTTCCCGGTTATTGGGTGACTTTTCCCTTTCACATTGACTGTATGCCCCCGCCCTCGCTTGACGACAAATTTTCTGGGGTTAACTAGGGGAATTTTCGGAAAATTTCGGAGAAAACTGGTAGGAAGCTGGGAACATGTAGGAAAGTGGTAGGTTGTGTTGGGGGAAGTAGGGGGGGGTCGTAAGTGGACCCTCCTTCAGGGGTGGGGGTAGTACTGACACCACCATTTCACACATCACGATGCTGTACTCTGAATGCGAGCTTCTTCTGAGGCCAAGTTCAGCGGAGCAAGACCAGGGCTCAGGAGCTTAGAAGGAGGTTAATGCTCGATGAACCCACGCTAATAAGCGTCGAAAGAACCATAGAGCGGTCCGTGTGGCCGTAGACTGTCGCCCACATGTGGTCTATCGAGCACCCATTCTACCTCACTAACCCGCCCTCAAAATTTATTGGGTACACAGCGAAGGCATACCCTTTAAAAAATTTCCCACCTCATTTGAATAGCCACCTACCGTAGGAATCATCCTAGGGGTGGTAATAAGGAGCGTACTTGCTACCTCTTCTTGCAGGTCGTTAAACTTGAGCATGACCTCAATGTTTGTTCTCTTTAAACCCACCTATTTATTACTGTTGAGTACTTAGGCAACAGTGGTGTTTATTGAACTTTGGTGATGAGAAGATTTCTGAGGGTTTTGTCGACGACAACAATTCTCTATGAAGAATCTGATTGACATGTGTCGAATAGAGTTCTAAGAACTGTCTGGTAGTCTGATTTAGGTGTACTTGATGTTTCTATGCGACACCTTTACAGCTACCGTAATCAACCCAGCAAAGAGCCCGAGAGTCAGACGAAACGAGAGACGCCGAGAAGAAGCGTAAACAGAATCGCATACACAAACTCATAGCTCATGCATTTATACGCGAAACACAGTCACCGTCATCAAACCCCGAGCGCTTTCACTGGCGGGGTGACTGTTTCAGAGCGGGGTTAGGGTCTAGGTGACCCAAACGTTTGAGGGTGTAGGAACTTGGCACTTCTGCTCGACCGGCTTATCTATTCTTTACTCTATAATAAACTTATCCCAA